TAAAATAATAATAATAAAATATGTTATAATAAAAATATATATAAATATAAAAAATAAAGAAACAGGGTCAACAACATATAATAAATAATAAATTGTAAAAATAATTAATAAAAATTTTAAATTAAATTATATAATTATATAAAATTTCTACATATGTGTTTATTTTTTTTAATGTATTCTAGTTAACTTTTTATTGAAACACTTATTTTGAAATTCAATCCCACATCAATCTATCTGTCTTTTGAGAAATCAAATTCAGAACAAGTATCTTTTTTTTTCTTTTTCCTTCTCTTTTCTTTTTTCTTTTTCTCTTCCACTTCCACTTCCACTTCTACTTCCTCTTATATGCAAATAAAATGGTTCTCGAGAACTTTATTCTGAAGGTTGAGAATGAGTTCAGATTAATATTATCATTCGAGTAGGTAATTACTGTCCTGTTGTTGGTGGTGTAATTGTTCATGATGTAGTTACTTGTGATGTAGTTGTCCCTGACATAGTTGCTTATAGTGTAGTACTCCTGGCATAGTTGCTCGTGGTGAAGTTGTTCCTGATATAATTATCTCTGGTGTAGTCCTCCATGATATATACACATATGGTACAGATTCTGTAACTGGTATTATTAACCTTGAAATTATTGTTGCTTTTTTTCTTTTCCTCTTTCCTTTTCCTTTTTTTTTCTTTTTTTTTCCTTTTTTTTCTTTTTTTTCCATCACTCCTATATAATTAAATTGGATTAAATTAAATTAATTAAATTATTAATTTTTTGTAAATACAAAAATAAAATAAATACTTTTTTGAAGTACATATAAGTCACTGATTTCTTTTATAGGATTATATTATATTCCTTATAATAAAAAATTTAATAATTTATTTAAATTATAAAAAATAATAAAATATTTATATAAATTATATAATATTATACAAACTTCTTCTTTTTGATTTTGATGATCCCACTATTTCCTCTTCTTCTTATTGTTTTTCCTCTTCTTGTTCTTCCTCCTCTTGTTTTTTTATTACTTCTTTTTTTATTTTGAGTCATTTTTTATTTAATTTTAAATTGTAAATTGTAAATTTTAAATTTTTTTAAGATTATTTGGATGATTAAAAAA